CGAGTCACTTCGGAAGTCCTTTGGCGGCACTCGATGACACGTAGTATGCTTGAAATAGTGGCTCTGGAGCAGCTTTACTCGACATTGAGAAACAACCATGTCCTACCCAAGCCCCCAGGAAGTACACCGGATTCTGTGCCCAACATTCGTTGTGTCCAAACGGCGGTACTGCAACTTCCGTATCAGTCCGTGACGTCACCCGGCCCAAAACAACTTTTCCCATTGACTAACATTGGGAAAGAAACGTCTGTAAATCAGCGGATTTTTTTTTTTTAAACTACCCAGTATGAACTATTTTATAGCCCTTATAAGAATCATTCGGTCCTTAAAGTTGTAAAATGCACTAAAAGCCGAATCTAGATTTATTTTCTGTCTCCATTCATTCTACTAAGCCGAGAGTGGGAGCTCGGGGGGCGGGGCTTAAGGGGCGCATGCTCTGTGAGCGCACATACGGGTTCTTCTGCTCTGAAAGCTAGGCATGATGGGTAATCTGTGACGTTTCGCTCTCTCAAAAGTTGGGCCATTTTGACTTCATGCGCCAATGAGCAGCTCTCATAGGAAAGAATGAGACCCCGCCTCCCACGCTGTATCCAGCTCTTATTATACATCCATGGGTCAACCTCATTCTTGAATTATTTAAGAACAAATAATGGTATGTTACGTTCTAAAGTGGAAATAAATCCCCATCAAACTCTCGGTAGATCTTCAGTGGAGAAGGGTTCTCTAGAGTTGAGTCTCTATTCAATTCAGTCATTACATCAACCTTAAACATTATATTAAAAGAAAATAACTGCATGACTTGTTAGCAGTGGTGACGTCATGTGACCGTGCTGTTTATAGCCCAACATTAGCTTTTTACCTAAGGCGATTGCATTTATGCTAAATCCTAAAGTTGTGTTAACATGTGGAGATTATCCTGCTGAACAAACGTTGAAGTGTCGGGATTGTGTTTTTACTACAGATCTTATTTTCTGCACATTTTTCAAAATCCTTTTTTAGAGGAGCCCTGGCAATGCTAATTTCTGGGTTGTCGCTCCAAAATAAATCATCACTGCCTCGCTCTATACAGCAAAATGTTATATCAAATGAATATCTGCGTGCTTGATGTGGGTGCAGATCGTGTGTACACTAGGGCTGTAATCGAATATTCGTTCATTGGAGTACTATTCGGGTTTCAATTTCGTTATTCCGATATTAGTTTTGTTTGTTTTTTCCCCGTTTTCTTTTTTTCAAATTGAAATTATTGAAATCTCCAATATCAACGTAAGAGCTTGTGCCTCTTCGGGGGTGCTAACACTTAACCATAAACGTTATCGTTTACTTTCTCCGTCTTTATATGTAGATATTACATTTCACGTTGTTTCCATAGCAACAACAACTTCCTGTCAACACCGCTAACTCTCCTTCAAAATAAAAGCATGTCCATAAATATCAAGCCCAGCCAAATTACACTTAAGACATATACAACTGCAACGAAAGTAACAAACACAATGCGATATCCTTTTCAATTTCAAAGAACACAAATTGGGTTACATTAACAAATAACTATAAAACAAAAATACTGTAGAATAACAAAATGAATGCCGTGAATAAACTGAAATACACGTGTTGAAGCGGTTTGCTGCTGATTACTACGCCCCTAACCCCCGAATATTCGCTGCTGATTACTACCGAATATCCGGAGCCCGAAAAATGGTATTCGGGAAAGCCCTCGTGTACACTAGCATCTCATGTGTTAAAGTGCCGTCTAACTCCTGATGCTCTGTGTGCAGATACTACAACGACAGCAAGCACAGGAAGCTGGACGAGTTCCGCTCCAGAGACCGCCTGGACGTGAAGGACCACTCCCACTCGGACCACCGCTCCTCCTACCGATACCACCCGGACTGGCAGGCGGAGCAGCGCGCCTCGGCCAGCGTTCCCCCCCGATCCCCCCGGGACCAGCGCTCGCCCTACGACTCGCGCTCGCCCATGGGACACCGCTCGCCCTTCGACTACTCGTCAGACCACAAGAGCACACCGGAGCAGATCTGGAGCAGCCGCAAGACATAACAGCAGCTCCCAGGTCTGCTGGTAGCAGCCATAGACTCCGAAAAAAAACACAGCAAATGCCTTACAGGGACTGTGAACTCACTGCAGCTGCAGGAAGAAACACTGTGCATCCACTGCAGCTGCTTCATCTCGGGAACGCCAGGCAGCAGATTAAAAAAAACAAATCATATTTTTGTATTAAAGAGTTTAAAGCTGCAGCGAGACGGCACGCAGCGATTTTTGTTATTTTTATAAACTTTTCTTAACTCTGGAAACTGACACAATTGACCCCGAGAGCTGCCTCATATTCCCAACCAATGACACTGGATCCTGTTGTTCTCTGTTTCGTCTGTCCGTCTCCATCATGCTCGATGTGATTATCTACCTTATTTAAGTGTTAACTCGATGAGAAGTCACACAGAAAGAATCGCTTCACAAGTCGATGTTTAAAGGTGTCCGGCTCGGGCTCACCACCTGGCGTACCTCATGTTCAGCATTTCTCATTTTTCCCTCAGCAGGTTTCTTCGTTTTCCAACCAGGCGTGAATTATTTAATAACATATCTTAGCTGTAAAAAAATAACCTGGATTGTTGTTTTTGGTTTTTTTGGGAGCGTGAGGTGTATCATGATTTTTTTCCCCCTCTTCATTAATACTGTTGTACATTTTTGTAAAATAGTAAATCGGTGGTCTTTTTTCCTCAGGCTTTTTGGATTTATTATGACTCTACTTTTCCCCCATCAACTCAGGCTTTTTTGTCGTCCTACGAGTGAGTTTCTGTAAAATAGTTCTTTCATGATAATGCTTTCAGAATGTAATTTTTGGTAAAGGGAAAGAATCTTTAATGACAGTTTTATTTACTAATGCTTCGTTCTTCTGCTCGGTAAGTTGAGAAGAAACTGACTTTTTTAAATCATTGTTTGAGATAAAAGTCAAGTTCCTTCCACGAAGAAGCACCAGTTCTGTTAGATCTTAAATAAACTCGACTTTTTACACTTTTTATTTGATTTACCTTTCAGTTTCCTTTTTCTACGTAGGCAATAATGTCACTGTTTCTATGCAGCCAAGTATATTTGTGGTGAACCACCCAACTGAATGAAGTCACTGTTACGGTTCGCACTGTTGTACATAGATTTCCTCTATATTTCAAATTGAATTTACACTGAAAGTGCATGAATTTTTATGAACTGTTTTATAGTTGTTTATGAAGCCATTAAAATCAATCACTGTACTCACTCGTACCAGCTCTCTTTAACACCGTGTGGACTTCTTTATTCTTCAAGGAGGCAGGAACCTTTGGAGGACAGGTGGGTTTCATGGCAAACATATCACTGCTACTAACTTTACACAAGTATATTTACAATTGTGAGGTACTTGTCCTTTGAGTATTTCAATTGTATGCTACTGTGTACTTGTACTCCACTACATGTATTTAATACCTTTATTTACTTTACAGATCTGGATGAATGATGTGAAATCTAATCAAGAGTGTACCTGGAGTAAATCCACAAGCTACCCTGCAGTATACAAAGTCATTCAAACTAGCTGCACCTTTACCAGCTTTGAGAACACTTTCATGATCAATCATTATAAAACATATCATATATATTATTCTGAAATGGACCAATCTGCACAATGACTACTTTTACTGTCGCTACTTTCACTATATTTTGATGAGAATACTTTTCTACTTTTACTTGAGGAACATTTTGAATGCAGGACTTTTACTGAAACAGAGTATCCCTACACTCTGGTACAAGATCTGAGTACTTCTACTTTTACTCAAGCACAAGATCTAACTACTTGGCCTCGATAGTGGCGGCTCGAGGCTTTGGCGCAGTGGATTAGCGCGGTGGTGTTCAGATCAGGGGGTCACAGGTTCAAACCCCACTGCAGTCAGCATGTCGTTGTGTCCCTGAGACACTTCACCCCAAATTGCTCACAATATTGAGTATGTAAGTCGCTTTGGATAAAAGCGTCTAACATCAAACATGTAATGTAGTGACACCTAGTGGGTCAAATAGGAACTGCAGACTTGCTCATTAGCATTTGTGGATCAAAATATATCATTTGTGTCTGCTCTATATCCAGGGATACCCAGTGGTGGAGTGTGACTAAGTATATATACTCAAGTGTTGTACTTGAGAGCAAAGTAAAGGTATTTGTTGTTTATTCTTGCATGGTTAAAACATACACAAACAAACCGTTGCCAGGCAGAAAACCCACTGGGCTTTTCTGATGTTAAAATTGACTAATAGAGAATACAAGAGACATTAACAAACATCTTATAGCATAGTTACATTACAGTGACATATTTAACATTTATACTGATTTATTACATTTGATGTTTAGTTTTTAATCAAACTAACCAACAGTTTACAGGAGAAAAGCTTCTTTAAGGATTAAGTGGAAAAAGGTTTTGGGTGTTATTTTAAGAGATTTATATGTAACTCGGTTTACCAACTATACTTTTTCAATGCAGTACATGTACACACAACAGTGAAATGAATAAAACCAGGACCACTTGAGCGGGTTTTATTTGGTTCATAAATCACATCAGGGCGTGTGTAAGGTCTCACAGCCCCGCAGAGTTTAAATAAGTAAATGGCTTTCCATGAAACATGTGACATAAAGATTCAGATTTAAGAACAGTTCTTAAGAACAAACAAGGCAACATTTCTCCTGTCAGAGTCCGACCCCCCCCTCTTTACTCGCTCTTCTTCTCCTCGAACATGATGTTGGCCGTGGCTCTCTTGGCTGTGGACACAAACACACACAGAGACTCAGACATTTTGTAATTCTGATAGCTACCTGCAACTATACAGAGGTGTAAAGTAACTAAGTAAATCTACTCAAGTGCTTAGTAGAATTTTGAGATACTTGTACATAGTTACTTGAGTATCTCCATGTTATGCTACTTTGTACTTATACTCCAATACAATTCAGAGGTAAATGGTGTACTTGTATGTCATTCAAACTAGCTGCACCTTTACCAGCTTTGAGAACACTTTCATGATCAATCATTATAAAACATATCATATATATTATTCTGAAATGGACCAATCTGCACAATGACTACTTTCACTAGATTTTGATGATAACACTTTTTTTTAACTTTTACTTGAGGAACATTTTGAATGCAGGACTTTTACTGAAACAGAGTATTCCTACACTGAGTACTTCTACTTTTACTTCTCCCACCTCTATGTAAAGTAAGTTACACATGAAGGGAATTGTTATCTGTTTCTTCCCCGTCCCACACATTTGTGACCCGCTCTATCGAAATCAGTCGGAAGTCGCAACGGCTCATTTCAAAATAAACGTGGATTTGAGTAAAAAACTAGTTTTTCTGGGTTTTGGTGTTTTGTTTGATTTCAAATAAACAAAGTCTTGGCTTTCAGAATCTGAAACTTTTATTTCCAAAATCAAACGATAAATAGATGTTTGAAGCTTGTAATGGGAAGATGACAGCTCTCACGCTGCTCTTCCGCAGCGCTGCCCCCCCTCCCTCCGGCTGACATTATGAATGAAAAGCGTATAGTAATCATAAATAACACGGCAGAGTCCGTGACAGTTTATTTTCATCTGATTTCAAATAAACAAAGTCTTGGCTTTCAGAATATTGAACTTGTTTCGCCAAATTCAGATCATAAATACAACTTTGAAGCTTGTAAAGGCATAATTACAAGCGGAGAACGGAGTAACGTAACGTCACAGCAGGCATAACAACAGCCGGTGTTTCTTGTGAGGGTTTTCCCCGGGAAACCAACACAATACACACAAACGCAAAATACACAAACACACACACACACACTATATAAACCAACATTATTCCTCGCGACCTTCACCCAGTAAAACGAAAATATTTTTCCTCCGTACTTTGACAATTTATTAGCCGCTACTCAGATCGATGGATTTCAGAGAAGAGCAAATCGCAAGACTGTTGAACTCCAACATTGTGAGAGGGACAGCC